GCTCTTTTTGTGACATGTCTTTATGATATAAATTAAAAATAGATGAAGACTCATAAAACATTTTTTATATTACTTTCTGAGTTGTGTAGGTATGCGAGATGCACTCGTTCTGTATCTATTGGTGAGTTTTTTTTTTCTTTGCTCTTTGATAAGATTTTAAATGGTATGGTTTATGATACAGAGAAATAGAACATTTGAGTAATGAGTTTTTTTTGCTTGTGTGTGTTTGTAGTGCCACCTGCGTACTATGCTCATCTAGCAGCGTTCAGGGCTCGGTTTTACATGGAGCCAGAGACATCAGACAGTGGTTCGATGGCTAGCGGGAGCATGGCACGTGGAGGTGGTATGGGTGGAAGAAACACTCGTGGTCCTAGCGTGAACGCTGCAGTGAGACCACTCCCTGCACTCAAAGATAATGTGAAGCGTGTCATGTTCTACTGCTGATTCGATTCAGCTCTCTTGTAATGTCTTTTTCTATCGCGACTTTTTCTAATGTCTACTCATCTCTCGTGTTGTGTGTGCTTTCTTGAAACTGCGACTTTTTCTCTGTGTGTATTGTATGAATGAGATTCTTTATGGGGTTTTGTTAGTTATGTATTTGTAATGAATTTTTTTTTATTTTGTTTTCTAAAGTTTTATGAGACTGTCGTAGTTGAACCTGCAATAGTGTATCGTGAAGACACACTTTGACTACTCAAATAGTATCTGAACTCTAATTAAACATTAAACCTGAGTCTTATCACAAGCTCTAATTTAAAGTCTGTTTTAAGATTATTTGTTTCTTCAAATTTTAGGGCTATTGAGAAGGTGAAAGAGACTAAAATTGAATCAAAATTACATCCTTCATCCTTTACATAATTGCCAAAATGGTTTTCGATTTTCCTTAAAGCACCCCCGTTTCTTTGCCTTGACACCAAAGTTATCCTTTCTAATCGAAGACAGAATCCATGGATGCGTCTCAGTCTCTTCCACAATTGCCATCTCTCTCTGGTCCTAACGTGAGACCACTCCCTGCACTCAAAGATAGTGTGAAGCCTGTCATGTTCACTGATTTGATTCAGCTCACATATATTGCTTGCGCATTAAAAAATACAATAAACCGTCTCTTTTCTATTTTTTTTTGTTTTATCATTGTTTTCAACGGTCCTGATTTGATCAAATTCTAAAGCCCACCATTGGGCCCAGCTTCATTTAGGGTTTCTGAGTCTTTTGTATATATGTAACTTAATCGTTTCCACTTTCTAGCTCGCCTTCTACCTCCCGCAAGAAATCAGATAAAAACCTTTTTTACAACTTGAAAAAAAAAACGATAATGATGATCACAAATCTTCCAAGCGATTTATTGGAAGAGATTTTCTCTAGGCTTCCCTTAAAATCTGTGAGAGGAGTGCGATTAACTTGCAGAACGTGGAACACTCTATCGAAAGGTCAGATCTTTGCAAAGATGCACATTGGTAAAGCTTTCCCACCACCAAACGAAGGGGAGTCTCGGATGATCTTGACGATGGAAGACAAGCTATTTTTAATTAGCATCTTCGATGATTTATCTATAAACAATAAAGGTAAACTTACTTGCCTTGACGAACAAGTCAAGATATCTCATGTCTTTCATTGCGAGGGGTTATTGTTATGCATCTTGAAAGACGACGATACTAGAGTTGTGGTTTGGAATCCGTATTTGGGACAAACAAGGTGGGTCGAAACCAGATATTCTCAGGTCTTATGCGAACCGAAGCCGAACATGTTCAGTTACGCTCTCGGATACGAGAACAAGAGATGTTGTCGTAACCACAAACTATTGAGGTTTGTAGACTTTTTATTATTTAAACGTTGGGACGAGTTTTCACCAAAAAAAAACCGCAGGGACGAGTTTGTATGGTATGAAATATACGATTTTGAGTCTGGTTTATGGACGACTCTTGATGTTAGTCCATATTGGCGTATAACAACGTATAACCATGGCGTGTCTCTCAAGGGAAACACTTACTGGTGTGCTAGGAAAAGGAACTCATCAGACACCCAACACATAATCTGTTTTGATTATACAAGAGAGAGGTTTGGGCCGCTTCTACCTCTGCATGATTGGATGGACAATGTGATCACTCTGACATGTGTTAGAGAAGAGAAGCTTGCGGCTTTATGTGACTTCCACGGAAGTTATGCGATATGGATCACGACTAGGGTTGAGGCCGGGAAGGTGTCGTGGGGCGAGTTGTTGACATTTGATCTGGATCCACCAAACGATTGCCTTAAATTTGGGAGTTTCTATATTGACGAGGTGAAGAAAGTCGCCATGCTTTTTGGTAAAAGATGGAATTACCACACTGTTTGCATTATCAAGGAAGAGGGTGGAGACTTCGAGCTAGTGGATCTCCGAAAACGTAGGGATAAAAAGTGTTCGCTACAACGTGTGTGCTCTTATGTTCCAAGTTTAGTGCAAGTCAAGCAACCTCAAAGGAGAAAAAAACAATGTGATTTAGAAAACTTTCGCTATGATGAAATGTTGTCGAGACTTTCCTTCTTTAATTGGCGGTGGAAAATGCGTAACCAAAACTGATCAGTGTAAACTGTTTATCGCTGTGGTAAGATGACAATAGTTTCAGCTTTCATTTTTTTTTTTGTTTATTTTGTCTGAAAGACTTTTGTAACCATGTATGGATCATGTTGATTCCCATATTCTTTTCGTTCCAGACAAAAAGTTAAACTCTCTCTCGCTGTGAAAAAAATGAATATATTGTTACCTTTCACTTGTCTCCTGATTCTCTTGAGGTCAGTTTTTTGCAACTTGTAGCTAGCAAGGACTCTCACTTATATACATTCTTGGGCAAGTTCATATCCTCTTTTTCTTCCTGATAGTTGACAAGTTCCTTGGTGTTTTATAAAAGCTCAATCTCAATGAGAGATCTAGTGAGAAGGAAAGTGTAATCATGTTTTAGTTTCGAAAACAATGATAAGAGTTATAGATAGATGAGAGACTGTGAGGTTTTTGCCTCTCTTGTTCTTATGAGAGATGCTTTATGGTATTTATGGTTATATTCATAATGGATTTTGAATTTACAAATTTTGAATTAGGCGTATTTCACTGCTAATTTTATGCTCTCTGCTGATTCAACATATCAACTCTCTCTCGTTCTGTTGATTATTCAAAGTCCTTTAATGTCGAAATCATCATCTCTCACTGATTGCTATTCTTTCTTTATATAATTTTCAAAAATGATTTTTTTTGATATTCCTTAAGCTCCTCTGTTTCTCTCTGCCTTACGGTTTGAACACCAGTTTTCATGGATGCCTCTCAGTCTCCTCTTCCACAATTGCCATCTCTCTCTGGTACACTCACCTTCCTGTTCTAAAATTCAATCTTTTTGTGTGTTTATGTCTCTCTCTCTCTCTCTCTCTCTCTCTCTCTCTCTCTCTCTATATATATATATATATATATATAGTATATGTATGCTTGCTTGATTTGAAATGTTGGTGAACGAAACGAACACAGAGCTTGAGTCTCGGATGCAAGTAATGCGCGTATCTGCTCTTGAAGCAAATCAAAACGGTGCCGAATGGTTTCACCAGAGACGTCATCTCCTTCTCTCACTCTGCCAAGATCTCTACGATGGTTACGCCACTCTCTTGGACCGTTTCAACCAATCCAAACCTCAAAACCTTAAAGATTCTCACGACACTGATCCCAATGACACTGACACCAGTTCTGAAGTCGAGAGCATCTTGTCCTTTCAGCACATGCAAGCCATCACCACTTTTGATAAACAGATCATCGACGAGTTAGCCTCGCAGCTCGTGACTGCAAACTTGGAGAAAGATATGGCGCAGGACGAGTTGCATCGCAAAGAGCAAAAGTTGCAAGAAGCTTCCAAGACGATTGAGTTGCTAAAGAAGCTTGTGATGTTGCTTGACATGGAGAAAGAAGTAGCTGTTGAGGAAACCGCGAAGCTTGGATACAAACTCACTTCTCTCTTGGAAGAGAACCGTGAGCTCGCCACCGAAGCGCTGTTCATGAAAACAGAAGCAGTGAGGCTCGCAAGATCCTTGCTTAAGATGAGGGATGAACATTTTCACAAGGTGTGTCTTCTTCAGAACCAAAGCTATGCTCTCCAGTCGTCGAGAGAGTCTAATGTAACTTCGCCGAGCTGTTTCGGATTGGATAGAAGTAAGAGCAAGAAGAGAAAGATGAGTGAAACAAGAAGTGATCAACATGCATGTGGAGAGAAGAAGAGAAAATCTAAATGGTTCAAGAGGCTCAATACCATCAATCCGTTTACCAAATCGTCTGCTCTGCACCACCGTGATGCGATCTAAAGTCTTAAACTAGTATTTTTGAATATTCATAAGATTGGTAACTATTTTATTGGAATGCACAATAATGCTTCTGCGTATGTTCTATCTACCTTAAACATAGCCATGTTCAACGAACCTAGTACAATCTCTTTCGATTCAACATCTTTGATGTAAAGCTTACCAATTCTGGATAAGTTTTGCAGTTTGTGTCCTCATTGTGGAGGTGTGAGAAACATATACGTTCTCTCCTTCATATCGACTGTATCTTGCAACATAGTATGATTTGATTAAAGAACTTAAAAACTCAACCTTTTCTGCATGTACTTAATCATATACAGAGTCTTTAGTTTATCTTTTGCTTACAGAGGCATCTTCAACAATGGGCCAAAGTAAAGCCACAACCTTTCAGACGCTAAATCAATGGTGAGATCGAAATGATGGTTCTTTAGATCGAATTGAATCAAAGAGATAAGAAAAGATTCTTTATTTTCGTAATGCCCTTTTTCTATTCGAAGTTTTTTTTTTTTTTTTTTAAATGTTAAATTGACAGAGAAATAACATAAAGGTGGAGAAGAAGAAGAAGAAGACTCATTAAAGCTTTCAGAATTTAGAGAGAGAGAGTAGTAGTAGTAGTAGCAGCAGTAATGGTACGAGCTTCATCGTCGAAGAAAGGAGGAGGAGGAGATAAAGACGATGCAGAGTCGAAGCAGAGGAAGAGATTGAAAACCCTAGCGATCGACAACAAACTGCTCTCCGATTCTCCGGCGAGATGCCTTTCCTCTCTCAAACCTTCAAAGCAAGTGCTGAAACACCACGGCACCGACATCATCCGCAAGTCGCAGCGGAAGAACCGATTCCTCTTCTCCTTCCCTGGGCTTCTCGCTCCAATCTCCGGCGCCACCATCGGCGATCTCGATCGATTGTCCACCAAAAACCCCGTCCTCTACCTCAATTTCCCCCAGGTTGGTTTTTCCCTAACCGTAATTGGTCACTACGTGTCTTTCTCAATGTTGCTGCTTCTTCTGTGTTCTGAAATTGTGCTTCTCTTAGGGTCGCATGAAGCTCTTTGGAACGATTTTGTATCCCAAGAACAAATACTTGAGTCTCCAGTTCTCTAGAGGAGGCAAAAACGTCTTATGCGATGACTATTTTGATAACATGGTCAGTCTCTTCTGCTTTCACACATTCAGAGTCCTATATCTCTGTCTCTTTCTGTTTCTTTGACGCTTGAGGATTTGGTATTGCACACAGATTGTGTTCTCTGAATCATGGTGGATTGGGACAGAAGAAGAGAATCCTGAAGAAGCCCGCCTTGATTTCCCTAAAGAACTGTCTCAGGTTACATACATCTCAGCTAATTTACATTTTCTCAAGCCTTGTTTGCCACAGAAATGTTTAATTCGATGAGAGAGGTGTTTTGTTTCAGGCGGCAGAGCAAACGGAGTTTGATTTCCGAGGCGGTGCCGGATCAGCAGGTTCGGTCAAGACGCAGGCGACTCCTGAAACTGGTAGCCAACCAACAGAGACAGACTCACCTGAGGTTGAAATGGAGGAGTTTTTATCTGATGATGGAGAGTTTATGGACGATAAGATTCAAGTGACACCCGTTCAAGTAACACCAGTTCGACAGTCTCAGAGAAATTCTGGAAAGAAATTCAAGTAATGATCTTTTCGATATTCTTTACTTAAGAACACACTCTTTTGAGCTAGTGACGTTATAGAAGTATGTGCAGTGGACTTTGATGAGAGTTATTAGATTCCTGAATCACTTGCTGTTCATTTGATTTGAGCTAGTTGTCTCTGTTGTTTATACGTTTGCCTCTGTGACATCTGTGTTTCATTCTCTTTTTTTAAGACCTTTAGTTTTCTGTAAGTAGTGTCAGGTGTTAACAGCCTTTCTGTAAACTGTTTCCACAGCTTTGCAGAGACTTCACCAGAAGACTCATCAGGTGAAAGTGATGGCAATACTTCTGATGAAGAAGATGTGAAACCTCCGTTGGAACCTGATTCTTCAACAAGAGGTCGCGAGGAAGTCGAAGCTGGTACTGCTGCATCAGCAGGCGAGTTTCTTACCGAACTTCCGGCTAAAAAGGAAAAATCAAACAGCAGAGACGGTAAGCTCGTTCAAGCTACTGTAGCTAACCTATTCAAGAAAGCAGAGAAGAAAACAGCTGGTACTTCAAAGTAGAAACCATCCTCAAAAGGATTAAAGAATATGTTCTCAGGTCTGTTGTTTCTTTTGCTGTGAGAAATGAGAATGAACAGCTTCTACTTTCTACCTCTTTTAGTTATGTTCTGTGAGAGAGGAATGAGAAATAGGTACAAGACTGATGATTATGTTGCAGAAAAAACAAGAGTAGGATTGTGTACTCATAATGTTTTGAAAAGTATGTCTTCGAGCTATGTATACATCATGTTTCCACATTCTAATACAAAAAAACCGTGTCTCATCTTCATCTATCTATAGGAGTGATTTTTAATATTGTTTTCAAAACTGAAACATCATTACACATTTCTTCTCTCAGTAGATCCATCTCATTGGGTTTAAAAAAAAACTAAGAGGATCCTTTGAGGAACTTATCCACTCTGTGATTAGTTGCAGATGAGAGAAACTTCATGCAAATAGGAGGTTTAACTCCAGCTATAGCAAGCACTGAGCTTGGTAAAGTCCAGATCCCATCTCCACATATCAAACCAGAAGCCACTGCTGTCGCAAAAGCTTCAGCCTTTGGTGCATCTAACCTCTCCCAGACAAACAAAATCAAACTCCCCACGCACATGTCGATTGCAAAGTAAGGCCCTAAGAAAAACGGTATAGCCATTGCCATGGGAAGAGGAACAAACCTTCCCCATCTGTCCCCAAGACCGTCTTTTATCAGGTTTATTAGGATGGCTACGCCGAAAAACGCATAACACAGAACAAGACAGTCTCTTGGTAGAGACGAAACACCTTCAACCCCGAGCTTCGCCATGCTTCTGTACACAGTAGCAAACGGTGCAGGGTATTCGCTGCTTGGGAGGCCGAGATCATCAAACGCCTTGTAGAAAAGCCAGAACACGCAGGGGGAAACCAGACATCCCATCGCTGTTCCAATCACTTGGCTCACGAACATGGCCCTTGGAGATGACAATGTTAGGTACCCGGTCTTGAAATCCTGCGTCAGGTCTGAAGCTGTAGATACAATGTTCATCATGACTCCACAAGCCGCTAAGCCTGCAAGAAGACCTCCATGGTCTGAACCAGCCCATGCTCCGATTGTGAATATGGCGAGTTTTCCGTAGGTTGATGCTAGTGACCAATCAGTGAGACCGGCTCCATAAGCATTGCAGAAAGCTAAGATAGGGGCAAAGACATAGATAACAATAATGTAGTACCATCTCAGCTGAGCAAACATCTGAGGGAGTATAGCTGTAGATACTGCAGCTATCACCACATAGCCTCCACCAGCAAACCATGAAGGTATTTGGTCTTTAAGGAAGAATCTTGTTCTACGTTGGTCGTCATAAGATATCCTTGGGGTCAATGGCGAAGCAGGAGCTTCTTCTTCACGTGATACAGAGGTTCTCGAACCAGCTTTACCTCGGATCTGCGAAAATAGTCCTGAAAGGGTTCGGGTCAACACCTTGCAGAAGTTGTATAGACCATCTCCTAGGATCATGGCAACAGCTATGAACACCTGAAGAAGCGAAAGAACAAGTGTTTCAGCAAATGCGGTGTGTAGGAAAGAAAGTTGGTGGGAGGATTTTAACCTTGTAAGCTTGGAGACCGTTCATGCTGCTTGAGTCAACGTTAGAAGGGAACCAATCTCCCTTTCTGGTTTCAATGAGAGGCCACATTAGTCCCCAAGAGAGAATCCCACCCAATAGAAGAGATATGTTGATAATGTATGGGCATATCATACCAACACCCACATATGTTGCAGAGAAATCAAAGTAGAACCTGTTGAACACCGAGTTCAGTCAAAAAGGGAACATAAACCACATCTTATGAGGCAAAGACAATGTGTCAGGTAATATCGTAATGCTTACTTGTATTGGTACGCTGTGAGTCCAAAAGTAGGGAAACTATTAAACCCACAATTATCACCTGCAGTAAAGAACCATTGGAAGAAACCCCAGAAGAAGCTCAAGGAGAAGAATTTCCCCAACACACGCACTTGTTGCCTGATACAGAGACCACAAGGCAATAAGCAGAGAACACAAAAACTAATAAGATGACTGTTAGTCATTAGCTACTTTAGTGAAAAGTCTCATACTTGGCTAGCTTTGCCCCTTGAGGAGTATGAAAGCTGTTGATAAGATGAGCAGTCGCAGTGCCACTTGGGTATGTTAGTTTGAAGTCTATTATCATTATCTACAACCACAGATTGAAATTTGTATCAGCTAAAAGTTCCTTTTTGGGTTTCTACAGGAGAAGGAGAAGAAGAAGTAGGAACCAAACCTTACGAAGAGGAACAACAGAGAAGAGACCAAGAAAGCTGACAACAAAGAGGAAAGCTATGATCCAACCCAAAGAAGGGTCCTTAATGCCACGGGCACCATCTCCTGATTGGTTTGCTATTCGTTCGCTCATTGCAAATAGGTAAGTCCCAAATCCTCCTGTTGCAAATTTAAATGTAATAAACAAAGCATTAGGGCCAGGTGAATTATGTGTGAAGAAGACTTCAAAGATTGTCTTTTTTGTTTTTATGAAAAAGTCAGAATTCAAGAAAAAAGAGCAATCTTGATGCCAAAGTTTGAGTTTTGAGATGGTTTTTTTTTGTTTCTATTACCGCTAAAAGCAATGCCTGAAGAAGCAACTACACATGTCTGAATAACCGTGTTCTCTTGTCTGGTAAAGGGCTGTTTCAAGTGACCAGATTTATGAAGCATCTTAGTCCATGTCTTGACGAAGAAGAACCCCAAAAGACCAGCAGAGACATTAAGCGAAGGGATGATTCCTGTTGTGAGGTTAAGCTTCATAACGATGAAGCTAAACAAGATGCTTAACGCAAAGCTAACCACAAAAGCTCTAATCGTTAATTGGTTCTTCCACGAAGGAACCTCTCTGCTCTCGAATATTCCCTCCACAGATTCTTCTTCCTCTTCTTCTTCATCTTCTTGTTCTCTTTGGTATTCTCTTGCATTCTTGTTCCTTTTCACCCTCTCTATTTCAGGACTAAAACGAGTTTCCTGCAACTCATGTTCCTCAATCGGACGATCTCTCTCAGGGGTTGATTCTCCCTTTCTCATCGTTTTCTCTTAATGTCTCTGTTTCTTTAGATCTGCGAGATGGTGAAGAAGAAGAAAAAGAAAAGAAAGAAGTAATATCGTGTAATAACGACAAAAGAAGATTTTTCAGCCTTCGAGAGGAGTCAACTAAAGGACTTCGTCTCTCTCTCTCTCTCTCTCTTTCTCTCTCTCTCATCAGAGATGGTGAAGATAGTTTAACTACTTTACACTTGATGAGGCCCTTGTTGTCTGAAATCTACTAATCTGTAAAATAATCATTTCTGGGTGAGTCACCATTTTGAATATCTTAATTTGATTGTGCATTAGTTTAACTACTAATTAAGGATTAAGAAAATAGTAATATTTTTGACCTTCTAACTCTTATTAACTTGCCATATATTTATTCATTTAACTACTTAAAAATGTTTTTCTCATGGATTAATTTTCCTCAATATAGTTATGTGCACACCACTAAATTCTACCACTTCTTCAATAATCATCAATATGAAAATAATTATCTTTTGTATATACTAGATTTTTAACTACAAATGTAGGGGTAGTATTGGATGATTGAATTAAATAGAATGTACGAAAATTCAAAAATAATTGATTTGTTAAGTAATTTAAAGTATTTTGTTAGAATTTAAACTAATTCAATAAAATTAGAATAAAAATAGTAAGATTTTTTTTATAATTTTTATGTGAGATTCTATTAAATTCATTCCAAATGATAATACAATCAAAGCTATCATAAAATTGAATAACACAAATACTTAATAAAATTAGAAAATTAGTATATTGAATAACAATGATATTTAAAGAATTTTGAAAAAAATAAATAGAAACACTTAATCCAATAACACAGATATTTAAACGAATTGATAAAAGATATCACAAATAACACTGGTATTTAGTGGAAACTTCAATTCTTTCCAATTCAATTCAACTTCTAAATCCAATACCCTCATCATAGTTATTTCTAATATTATTTTAAAATTGATTACTTGTTTAACAACGAGAAGCAATTTATAAAAGATTCAAATTGCATTTTTATCCTATACATCTACATATAAAATGAAAAAAAAATCTAGTAAGACTAATCAAAATTCAAAGCATATAAACATCATCTATAACAATTGAAGTTAAAACTTTATCACTACTTTATAAATAAATTTATATTTTTAACTGTGAGATTTGACAAAAACCTAACAAGAACGACATAAATTATCATCTACAAGTAATTATTATCTACAAGTAATTATTATTATCTACAAGTAATTATTAAAGTTGAAAATTATTTTCTCATTGTCATCCCAAAATGGTATATTCCTTAAGACAAAGTGATCACAAAAAGCCAAGATTAAAATAAAATAAAAAATCAAAAGAATAATCTAATATCTATCTACATCATGTGTGAGGACCACGCTTTGTCCAAGTATACAAATCTATACAAAATATTGACTGAAGAACACAATAGGTCTTTGACTATTTGATCAATCAAACATCATCAACCATTCTCAGATATCTACACGTGTCTCTATTACTCATTCCAACAACAACAAGAAGAACAAAAAGCGAATCTTTCCTGAGATAAAAGAAACTGATCTTCATTGGAAAAAAAAACTGCTCCCAAGCCACTCCCAGTTCCTGCAGCCATTCCGTTTGCAACTTTCTCGAGCTGTGACTCGATTGTTTCCTTCCTGGTTGGATAGAAAGATTCGGTATCTACGTCCAATGAAGTAGTCTACAAAAGGAGAACAAAGAAAACTCAAATGCGGAACTTTTGTTTGTAAGAAATTCCTATTACGAGCTCTTATACTAATTAGCTTTTATTTAGGGATTGTTATTTTGTAATTGATTTGGTAACTAATGTAATTAAATATTTAGGAGTTTAATTATTAATCAATTTTAGATGATAATGAAGCATTAATGGCTTATGTGTCATTATCTCAAAATTTTAAATTCTTTAAATCTGCAAATGGTTAAAAACTTAAATATTTTATTCTTACAACCAAACAAAAACTTCAATAATTATTTATTTTATAACTGCATTTAATGTTTTAAAATCTACAATTAATATTTAAGTTTTTTATATAATTTAAACATTTTGATTTAAATAAATATGACAGAAAATTTAAGTGAATCTTTGTTTTTAAAAAAATATCTACTATATATTAAACAGAAAACATTATAGGCTAACATGTCATTATTCTAATTATATATATTTTAACTGATGTCTTTTACACCATAATTATTTCTAATATTTTCTATTTAATTAATTAGTTACATTCTTAATATTTTTCGATTTAATTGATTTAAATTGGATGTAATAGTAACCAAAATTTCAAAATCGATGTACATATAAAACATAAACCATTCCAACTAAATTATAAACGATAACTAATTATATAGCAAATTTTACTTATCTAAATATAGTATTCGAATATATTATTATGTGGTTACAATAACTAATAAAATTTTGAATATTAAACAAAAAGAAAGTAAAATTTTTTAACCGGTAACAAATCTTTTTTAAAATATTGTGTTAGTATATCTTCACAAAATACGGAATGTACAAATATATTCTGGAATGCAAATATTTGATTCAGCATGTATATACCTTAAAACATACACTATTATTAAAATGTCGTCTTTATTGAGAAAGATAGCATTATATTCCGTTAATATAGAAGTAAGAATAACTATATATCCAAAATAGATTTCCTTGCAGATCTTTCGGAATGATAATTGTATAAATAGACGTGTAGTGGTAATTAAAAGTTCATTGGATTGGGATTAGAGAAAACAACACATTAGACATCGTCATTTTTTGAAAGTTAATATTTTTTTCATATAGCGGCCACACAAATATTTTGTATGAAAATATATAAATCTCAGTAAGTTTCTTTGGGATCTAAATGTTTGTCAAACATTACATATCGTCATTTTTTAATTTATTTGCTACATCGATTTGTTTTTTGCATGTTAATCTATTCTTTATATATCGGCCACATGCATAAAACGTTTAATGCATCTTAATCTTTTCTTATTTCAATCGATTATTTGTTTTGTTTTGTTCGATGATCAGAAGGATTATGTTTTCCTATATGTGCTTCTTTTTGTTAAAGATTATATTTGATTCGACAAGGAAATCACTTAATGAAATCACGGCAAATAAAACTTTGTGGAGTCATCGCTCGGTTTCTAGCTGTGTATTTTTGTTTACGAAAATTATTGTTTTCAGTCGTATTGTTTTATCTTAGGTGCTATTTTTACTTTGTTAGTGTCCTCTTTAGAAGAGGGTGGAATTAACTAAAAAAAAAGTTTGATCTTCACGGAAAGTCATGTTAAAGACAAACAGGCAACATTTTTGAAGCCAACCGACTGACAACTAGAGCAAATCATTTGAGGAAGATATGAAACTTTCACAAGACGCCTCCAAAGGCTACGACTAAGTCTTCATGAAGTTTCTAAGGTTTGTGCAAGAAAAATTCCATGTTGAAATCGTTTGACAGGCCCTTCGATATTTTGTATCTTTATTTCTATATTTTTTTGAATTTGATATTTTCTCTTTATTTTCTAATTTTTCTTATTTTTATTCAGTTCTGTTTTTGTTATGTATATCAACTTGATTTGTATCTTTCATTGTTGATGTTCTTTATAGTATCAGTGTAGATAAACTGCTTTACTTTATTTAATAATTATATATACATTTTGTAACATATTTTGATACATGTTCGTCTCTTTAATTGCTTTGGTGGATTAAGGTTATTCGATTGATGTGTTTATGTGTTGTTACCTTTATAATTTTATAATGGATTATCTTCCAATAATAATATATATGAAATACTGAGATCGGCCATAAAGTTGATTAAAGACATGGAACATGTATCAAAATTTCATTTATTTGATAAAAGTTTAAGATATAGTTAAGATCGGTCATTTCATTTATTTGATAAAAGTTTAAGATATATTTGTTTTGATTTTATTTTAATTTTAATTTATTTTAGGTACTTAAAAACAATTTATTTAAGTGGTTTTATTTTTTTTTACGTAAACCAAACAGAAAAAATTGAAATTAACATGAATACACTAAATTAAAAAAATACTTAAAATTATAAGTTAAAATTTATGTTTGATCGTCATAAATCCATACAACAATATGCGATTATTTATTAGTGCATAATTTCAAGATACAATATTTTTTTCATTTTCTTTGTTTTTTTTAAATATCATCGTTATAATATTAATTATATAAAAATTATATATTATTTATTGAACAAAATTTTACAAAATTTAAGCCTGTTTATTTTTCAAATCAGGAGGAAAAGTAGGATTGATGTATTGAAAAGCATTATCTTAATTTGAGACTAGTAAGGATTAACATTTTAGGACCATAATTTCTGGTACTTTGCTAAATTTAAGAAATTTTCGCAAATTTTAATTTTTTCTTGATAATTTTTAATCGTCAAATTTCCTAACAAAAATTGGATATTCTGTACACAATCATTTTTTAATCTGTTAAATTGAAATAATCATTCATAAATATATAATTATTTTTTAAAAATACATGTATGGAGCAAAATCGTTACTAAAAACCCCACTTAAACACAAAATATGATCAAATAATAAATATTTAATATTCAAATTTTTTTAAAAATATATATAATTTTTTTTTAATTTATAAATTAAAGAGAATAGATATAAATTTAGTCAATTTATAAATTAGCCAGAATAGATATATAGTACACTTTTATATTACTATTATATATAAATTAAAAATTAAAATTTGTTCCATGCATGGCACATGTAGTAATCTAGTAAGTATAATGTTTAGAAAAAAATATAAAAGAACATATGTGCATAAAAGAATACATATTACACTTAATAGATCAATTTTTTCATGTTTGTTCATACAAATATACATAAAAAAGTATTTAAATCACGAATTCACCCATTTTCGTCAAAATAA